GAACTACGAGATTCTACAATATGCACCGAAAAACTTTTGTCTAACAAGACAAGTCTATATTCTTTTTCAAACACAGTTTTCTGGTGAGATTGTTTTCATCGGGTCGGATCGGGTTCGGGTTCAGATGTTATCGGGTCGGGTCGGGTTCGGGTTAAGTTGTTGTCGGGCCGGGTCGGATGCGGGTCGGCATTGTGGCAGTCGGGTCGGGTTCGGGTTAGGTTTTCTTAACCCGTGCAGGCCTCTACTCTGCACCTCCTCCATAGTCAGCATGATCAACAATTAATCTCGATTTGAGTGTCATGGAGGTCCGTTTTCTTTATTTCTCCAAACAAATTCAGATTATCAGAGAAATTTTTCAATAAATAAATAATAAAAATAAATAATAGATGCAGCAGTCTATAAATATACATGTTATGCAGCCAAAAAGGGTAGAAAAGATATGTATATACTTTAACCTTACGGAATTTTCACATTGATTTTAATTAAATAGAAGGAGAGAATTCCGTCATGAAACGAAGTTTAGAAAAGTAGAAGAACGACTGGAAAAAATTTTTGTACTCTATCACGTCAGAAATATAAAATAAATTTGATTGATGATGTAGTTTTTAAAAAAGGATCTCCAAAAACCTTTAAAATGTGCCCAAAATAATTTTGCGAAGAAGTTTAAAATCAGTTTTCAGCAGAGCTCGTTTTGCTCTATTTACCCGAACAGGATCATATCTGGATCACGCTGCCCCTGGGAGAAAAATGGGTCACAAATTTTGCATGGAAAACGGAGATTTCTCCTAAATGAATCAGTAATTTTTGATAGAAATTTAAGAGTACATAGCCCATATAATAATACATCTTTCCTAAAAATTTTATTGCAAAATATTGCATAGTTTCGGAGAAAACTTTATTAATTTTTCATAAAACTCGTCGTCTATAAAGCGACACCTATAGGTCGGGAACAAAACATTTCAAAAACAAAACATTCCGAGAAAACTTTTGGCTGATGAAGTTGTAGCTGATGTCATTCTACATGGAATAAGCTGAACGGAATTTCTAGAAAAAAGTTTGAACAGAAATTAAATGGAAATTAAAACATTTTAATTTTAAAAGTTTTTAATTAATAATTTTTTAAAGCTTTTGTCATTAGAAAAAAAAAACTGTTCCATTTATTCCACATACAATTTCATTGGAAACAACGTTTGTACAACAGTTGTTATGAGATATGCTTTGCGTAGTCAGAATTCATGTCAATGTTTTGGGGTGCGTATCCGTGCAACAAGGGCTTCCGAAACTCCCAGCAATTATTGTCACAATCAATAAGTTTTAATTGTAACATAGTGGCCAGATAGTCCAAAGTAGACTCTACAATTCTGCACAAGGCCGAGCTCTCCATCTGTTGTGGTTCTTGAATGGCAGGCATTTACCCGACGAAATGATAACGAATTACGGGTGACTCAGGAAAATGACGGCCATTGGAGAACCACAACGGATAGAGAGATCGACCTTACGCAGAATTATAGAGACCACTTTGGACTATCCAACCACTATGTTATAATTAAAAAACCAGATGCAGAATCTGGTAACCCCATCGTTTTTCATCAGGCAGGTAGACCACCTGAAAACCCGAGATTTTTCGTGCACAATATATGTGAAGATCGAATAAAGTCTTCTCTACAAATGCTGAAAACCCGAACTCTCTATTTCTTCTCGCTCTCGAGTTATCCAAAAAACACCCATGGCAGCTCTAAACAGAAATTCACAGTAGAAACCCGGTTTACCTAAAACGGAGTACACATAAGTGCTTATCTGCAACATTTTGAAAAGCCAAGTACAGGGATTTGTAGCACCTGGAAATCTCTCTCGAATGACGTATTACTTAACCGTTTCCAATAAACTGTTAATTCGCAAATAAAAGTGTAAGGCACCAGAATGATATTAATTGGTATTCATTAACATTGATTAATTATAAATTACTGTCTAAAAAATCTTTTTTCATCAAACCGTAATAACAGACCGTTGGTTATCAAGTAATGCATAAATGATTTTTCTAGGGTTATTTTTGACTGAGCTACAAGTTTTTTGATAATGCTGCTAAAATTTTATTAAAATTTTAATTAAAATTTAAACTTAATTAATTAATAGCTCTTTGAATAGCTATCGGTTCATCGAAAAAACTGAAGGATATACGTAATCAGATGTCCTCTTCAAACGGACATAGTTTGAGGGCACATATAAGGGGGGTGAACTCCCCCTTAATATATTAATTTAGGTTCAATAAAAAGGAGACAGGAAACATTGAAAAGAGAAAAAATAGGAGGCCTGAATTCGAATCAACTCAAGAAATCAATCATTCAACTTAAATAGTCATTACAGTACGGTCTCGAGAGTGATATCCTGAGAATTTAGCTGAATCAAGATATCCTAGAAAATTTGTTTATTTTGTAACGGATTAAACACGCAAAATTTCATCAAGTAGATTAATTGGATCAATGATAAGTAAAAGAGTACGAGTGCTCTATTTTCTTATAGAAATATTCCTGAATGAACTATGTCAGACTCAGATCGGACTATCTTATAATGGTCAAGTAAAATAATATAAATTAATATCCTATCCTCTTTTCGTCTCACTCATCGTAAAATAAATTGTAGTATTTTCTTGTGTGATGATCTGAAAAACTGTCGAAACTGAGGGAAATTTCTATCAATGGAAATGTTAAATATCCCACCCGATCAATTACTGAATTGAAATCAATTCAAGTTAATATCTCTTTTGCATTATATACTTAAAGATTATCAATAAGTAAATACAAAAAAGTATTTCATATCATAATTTCAATTTAACTATGAACAATTACCAGTCACTTTTTGTCGGTGTACTAAACATTTTTCCTCGCTGTTGTTCAGTAATATTTTGTTGTTTTCTTCGCTCTGTAGATGGTGGAACAATGTCCGAAATATAATCTGATGTCATTTGATCTTTCGTCGAATTCATCTTCTTTGCTGTAGACCAAGCATTTTGATTTACGTTTTGTTCTGGTTCGATATTTACTTGATTCTTCTTATTCAATTTATCTCTTAACCAAACAACCGTATATAATATAGCGTCTGCTAGATAGCAAGCATCACCAACAACTTGAATCGGTCGTATAACGGTGAAAGCAATATTTGCTATTTGTGATACAGTTAGACTTGTATAACCTGAAATAACTATTACTACTGGTTGTGCAACATGAGCAATTAAATAAATGATACTTGCCAATATATTCAAAATTATTGCCCATAATTCAATACTTTTACAATTACAACCGCAACAACAGCTTTTTTTCTCAGAAATTTTTTTCTCAGAAACTTTTTTCTCAGCATCAGACGATTTAAAATATTTTCCCCAGTTAAGAAGTTGTAATAACGCTTCAACAAGAAACAACGCCATACCGCCTACATTTAGAATAAACGCTGTTAAATTTGATAATGCTAAATCAGATGTTGAGTACAATGTATTCGCTGATGTTGAAGTAAACGCTGTTTTTGGTTTTGTTATTGCTCCGGCTAGATAAACGATGCTACCAACTAGACTTGCTATTGATGCAAGTAATTGAATTATATGTCTGCTTGTTTTGTCTTTTCGACGAAAAACATTATTATAATACCAGTCGAGTAAATAAAGAATAGCATCAACAACAAACAATCCAGCTAGACCAACGTAGATAGCAAAAACTATTGTTGTGTCAACTGATGTTGTATTTACAATACCAACAATATCGATAATCAAATAGCCAACTGAACCAAGAATATATAAAATATTTCCACACGTACCAAAAATCATTTTTGTTCTTATTTTTTTGAAAACGGCACAGTGATAGAGAATATTTTTTCAAAACAATAACGAAGTAAAAGAATAAAATGAGCATGACAACTTATTACAGCTTCATAAAATTCTATAAAATTTCTTATGATCGAATGTTTGCTTAATTTTAACAGAAAAATCACAAAAATATGTCAGCACTTTGTTTGAAGTAAGATGAAAACGAACAGGAAAAAAAAGTCTCCAATGTGTACACTTCATGACTTTTTTTTTAAACAAAAGGAGAAAAATTGACATAAAAATCATTATCCAATATTGCTTAGAGGTGTTTTAAATTCATTGATTCTCATTAATGAAAGTGTGATGACATTAAGATTTGAACTGAGAAAACAGACCAGATTGTTATTATTTTCTATTCTTAGAGCATGATATGTTAAGAGCGATTTAATCTCAGTGAACACTGAAAAATATCTTTATTCAATCAACATAAACTGGAAACAAATGTTCATGAACAAGTCTTTGAAAAAGGACAGAATTGTATATATAATGGAGAATACAGTTTTTTGTTTGTAAATATAGTTTTCCAAAAATAACACGTAAAACGATCGATGTATTGATCTTGTATGAGAAAATCAATACCATTCTTTCAAAGTTGCAAATGTATTAGAATGATGTTGTTGATAATAAACTATTTATTGTGACTCCAAAAATTGAAAAAAAATCAAGAGGAAGACCGAAGATAACAAGTTTTTGCGCTGCTATTTTAATATAGTTTTCTTAACCTATACTGTTGTTCTGATAGGAAAATGAGAGAAGGAACACATTTTCATATATATATATATGAGGATTTCTGATGTTCGTTTTCACTAGAAATCAATACAGATGTTTTAAATTCCATGTCTTTTAAAATAAATAGAATTTTTGCCCTTAAACAATCGTTGTTAGCATATAAACAGAAATATGCAAACAAAAATTGATAGCTACACCTACTATTTTTCACTTTCTTTTAAAATTCAATTGACTATAATACACAAACATTATCGTTAGATATTACAATCTACTCTCTTTTGTTCTCTTTTCTTCATTTGTTTAAGATGCTCATGACTAAATAAAGAAAAAAGGAACAAAAGAAAACAGAAGACTCTCAATTGCATACTAGTAAAAAAGTCTTATTCTACCTTTATCTGGAAATTTTATAATTGGTTTGACGTTTGTTTCAAAAATTTAGATAATTCGAGTTTGAAAGATTCTAGGAAAAATCGAAAGATGCCATTCAAACAAGAATAAAAAGTTGACTTTTAATGACTATTCATTCGTGAAGTTAGGTATAATCACAATTTAATAAACAAAAAGTTTTTCCATACAATAGTAAGAGTAACATTTGTCACGGAATCATCTTTTACAGTAAGTTTTTACATATTTACCACACATATTTCTGTCTTTCTGTTTAGACAGATATTAGATTCAGATAGTTCATCTTATGGTTTATGTGAGCGATTCTGGTTAATTTGGTACCGTCTTTTTTAAAACTTGATCCCCAAAAAAAGTACAAGCGCGAAGATTTCAGCACCATAACTTGATAGTAGGTGCTTACTAGTCTTAGAAAAAATGGGCCTGCAAACAATCTTTTCTTTGTTTCCTTGAATTTAGAAAACACTCGACCTGGCCTCATGCACATCTCACGCGCATAGCTTTTTTCTTCATAGAAACTATCGAATGCTTGATTATGTTAGTGGGAAAAACCTTACTATCTATGAAACTATGTTGAGTCCCTTAAGCGAAGCTAGATTTATATATCTGGAGTCCAAAATCCATCCCAAAATGTGACTAGTTTTCCGGAAAACTAGACAATTCTTTTTTAAACTACGATGTGGCAAATCATGCATACCATTAGATTCTCCATATTTTAAAACCTTTATACTAAAAATTTAAATCCATTTAAGCAACTTAATATGAAGGTATAAGAAAACAATGGTGAAGGGACAAAGGTGGACCGTTAATGGTATTTTTTAAATTTCTTTCTTGCAAAGTAATTCTAATCGTTAATATTTTTACTAAATTATCTACAACCCAAATCACACTTTAGTTAAAAAGAGAACGGCTTTCTCATCATTAGCAGCGGCAGGACATAGGATAGGTGGGTACGGGACAAACTTCAGTCAAACATCAGTCTTAGATAATAATTTTGTCTACTACTTTTGAACGAAGAGGAATTGAACTCTTATATTCCCACTGATGTGTATCGTCTACCTGTGCTTATTTATTGCCATCAACAAAATGAAAATCAAAGTGCTTACAAGGTCTCTAGAGTGCCTGGATGGTGACGAAACAATTTAAATGAACTTTTCTGGTTTGTTCCAAAGGTATACGATCTTTTGAAATCACATAATAATCAAATTCAGTACAGACAGTAGACAAATATCTCTTTTCATTTCCGTTCTCTAAACAGTTTAAAAATTAAATAATCTCCATTCGGTTCAAATTCTATTCTTCTGACATAGAAAATGGATCTCCCTTTAATGGACATAGATCCAAAGAGCTTTTATTGAATTACAAGATATTGCGTAGATAAAATAAAATTTAACCCGATATGATCATCAGAACTTATATTTTTTCAAAAGTATGATGAATACTGTGGATGGTTGGCGACATATTTAGCGAACTGATCACGATCAATTGTTTCGTCTCGTCGTCCTTCATTGAACTGAGACCAGGCATCAAGCGAATCACCTGGTACTTCGTAGAAATCATTCATTCGATCAAACACTTGTCGACCGTACTCAGGTGTGATAATACCATTTGAATTTGGATTGTATTGATCGATAAGGAAACTGGCTCGTTCATACGGTGTCACATGTTGATTTAACATGACATAAGCAGAGAGAAACTCTTCGAACGTCAAATAGCCTGTATTATCTCTAAAACAAACTGAATGTATATCTCATTTATAGTAGCTTAGTGACGAGAGTACCTGTCGAATGCTTTGAACGCTCTGTCAGCTGCTTTGTGTCCATGAGTTCCACCAGGCACGAGAACATCATAGCAACGACGAAATTCTTTCTTGTCCATTTTGTTGTCATTACCGGCGACTTGAATGAAATTTTGATGGAGAGCAAGTATTTGTTGTGGTGGAATGCCGGTGGCTTGTGAAAGGCGGTTTGGATCCCATTGACTGAAGTTCGACTGTTTATTACCCATTTTTCTCAACGTGTCGATGTATGCGTGTATTGGAAGACGTTGTCTTTAAATTTTGACTTGAGTACGAAAAGGAGAGAAACAATTGTCGTTTAAATCATAACAAAAGGAGGCAAAGAAGAAGAAAAAAAGGTAATAGGAATTTGTAATAGGAATTTTGAGCAAGAATCCTTTTGTGCTGACAAAGAAAAATGCGTTTACTGGCAAACAAATTCGCTTTTCTTCACACTCAAAGTTACTGGCTGAAATGTTTCTTCAAAAGAAATGGTGCACATTTCTCCTCTGCTTCTCTGTTTGTGTGAATACATCAATAAAGAATTCATCATCAAACAAGTATCTAATACAATTTTCTCTTCTGGTGATGAAACTACTTTGATAAAGAAATATTAAAAGTCACTTAACTAGAAACGATCAGTCTATTCATTATCTTAATATATTTAGGTTGTTAAAAATAACAGAAATCGATCGATGCTTAAAAGAAATGTTTTACGTCAGTGCGGAGTCATGACTTATATCCCAATCAAGATAAAATCCCGATCGACCTATGCGATTATCCCGATTGAGCTATAACCTGGGTTCGTACCTGCCCTTCCTTAAGATATAGGAAAATATAGGATTTGAAAAAAGAATTTATATAGGACTTCTCTAATAATATTCGACAAATATAGGACATCCTTTTCACTAACCCAACACCGTTTAGTATGGTGAAAAAACACCAGAGTACCATTGAAGCCGTCTCTGTGCAGGTCATCGACTGAATTGAATATGAATATGTGTTCAAATCGATGAAAATGTCGATACAATGAAATTTACTTCACAAAAAAACACACAAAGGAAAAAAATGGTTAATATTCTGTTTTGTTGGGAATATGCGAAATATATCATCCGCGTATCGAAGCCATAGTAATGATTTATTGATAGAAAATCTGTTTAACTTAGTTTCGAGTTTTGACATAAATAGGTCTGCAAGTATTAGTGCATGTGGTGAACCCATTGCCACTCCATCAGATTACGTGTAATATTTACTCATAAATCTAAATGGTATATCACAAACAGTTAATTCTAGTAGTCTTTTCATTTGTTGTCGACTGAAGGGTATATATCAGCTATTTGAGAAAACAATTATGATAAACGAGCTAATCTTGGAGTATGTTAGAAGTATTGTAACAGCAACTAGAAAAATATACACAACTAATCTTTGACTGGATAAAAGAAAAGAATCAAATAAATTTACTTTTGCAGAACAAATTGCAAAAGTAAACCCATTAACTAATTGATTTCCGAGAACTGGTAGGCATAACTGTATAAACTTCAGCGAGAAACCATCAACTCGACCGCTAGCGGTATTTTTCATAGCCCCTACAGCTTTTACCACCTCGGTTAGATCAACGAGTATATCAGAAATTAACGGTCCCACGTTGGGTGCTGTTCCAGAGATAGGGAAAGTATTTTGAAATGGATTTACTTTTGCAGTTTGTTCTGCAAAAGTAAATTTATTTGCTTCTTTTCTTTTATCTATCCAAATATTAGTTGTAGTATATTTTCTAGCTGCTGTTACAATACTTCTATCAGCTATTTTCTTTGGTTTATATAACATATCTAGTGCAATCTCAATAGATTCTTTTACTGGCACGTTGTTCCTACTGGCAAAACTGTTCCTTTAATTTCTTTGTCTTATACTCACATTTACAGACTATATAATTAGTTATCTT